AATTCTTGAACCCCGCGGAGCCTGAATCACTCCGGGGTCAAGGAACCGAGTTTCTTAGAGTCCTCCACCGAGAACTCAAGCGGAGCTGAGCCTGGAAAGCTGACCAGCCTACACCGCGACCACCTTGGGTGTAAGTAAATAATCTTTTCAATCAACCATTACGCCTCCGTGACTGATTCTAGCTATGGCGTGCCATACCGCACTGCGGTTTTCTCCAACCCCGTGTACCCGGGCTACCGGCCACAGCCTGTGTGCACACACGAGACAGGCCCGGCTCGCCCCCGGCTCGCACGTGGCGACGGAAGAGAGCTCGCACATGGCGACCCAGGCGAGATCGGAAGTCGGCCCGCACATGGCGACGAGGATGGGATCGGAATTGGGAGAAGATACGCTAGAGATACGCAAGATGTGGGCCTCACCAGCCCACATCTTGCGGGCTTCTGTCCCAGAAGTCACGACAGCTTTGACATAGGGTATAGATATAAAAGACCCTTGATACATTATATGAAGATGACCCATTGCTGCGTTTCTGCTCTTTGGAAGATCTTTATTCCTTTAGTTAAGTCAGTCCTTTTGCTTTTATCACTTCTGCCAAATCATTTTATTTTCTCTCTAGCAGTTTCAGCACTTTGTGCTCTCACCTAAGTTGTTTACAAACTTGCCTGTCTCAAAGGAGACTGGACACACACCTTGCTGGGGTTACTTCACCCCAGTCTTTCCTGCCCAGAGCAGGCAGCTGGACCCTATTATCTCACAAGGTCCCTTCCAGCCCTAAACTTCTGTGAATCTGTAAATATCAACAACCCTTTCATAACTAACCCAGGTCCAAGCACCTCTACATCCATGTCTCATCAGACATTGAAGCTTCTCATTTCAAAAGTAAACCTGGTAGATCTTTCAGTTTAAAAAAAAATGTAGTTTCAGCTGACTAGATACTGGAATACAGAAAAAGGTCTATCAGTTCCTTAGGTCTCCGGTAGAAGTATCTAGAGATCAGTACGACGACTCCAATGAATTTGAACTAGGAAGATCTTTCATATATAATCAGCGTAGATTCTTGAGGGGACAGAAGTTGGTGACAAAAATATTATGAGGCTCTGCAGCCCAGGACAGAGGTTAACTAGAATGATTAAGAGCGTTCAAGTCAAACAGATCTGTTTTAAGACCTAGGACTAGAAGTGTTTATTATATAATGGAGAAGTCAGGGCTGCACAAAAAGATAAATGCTGGATCTGTGCTATCACTCTTTTACAATAATAAAAGGAAATAAATATGTGCTACCAGTCATAAGGCAGAAGGAAGCTCATGGACAAATCTGACCCAGTCTGTAAACAAGGCCTTGAGGAAAGAGATAAAGGAACCAGGAAATGCAATGTTATATGATACATGTAGATTGTTCCTCTCTCGTGCACGCATACACACAAATAGATATTTGGGGCAAATTACACAAATACACATGCATGCATCAGGTACGTATTTGGGGGGGCAAATTACATATACACACATGTATTTTGGGCACAAATTACACATACAAACACACGTATTTTGGGGGCAAATTAAGGTCAGAGCCAAAAGCGCACACGGTATTAAATCCACAGGGGATACACCGCCAACAGCCAATCTAGAATGGCAAGCTCAGACGACCAAATGCTGGAATATTAGCTTCTTCAAAAGTGCCTTGGCTAACAGTAGAAGTGTGATTTGTCCTGATGTTTCTGCCACACCCTTGAGTGCAATTTCCCCCAACCCTTCCTTAGTTGGTCTTGCTCACCCTCCCCCACTGGCATCTGTCTGCTAATCTTTCTCTTTGCCTTATCTCTGCCATGTCAGCCTCTGCCATCCCTCCTTCCAGAAAAGCTGGCAGCCATGTGAGAGCAGAATGATGGGCACCCCTGTGCTCTTACACAACACAAACAGAACAGTGTTGGAAGAAACCCAAATCCAGTTAAGAGTTAATGAAAAAAAGCACTGGGCACAAGGGCATTCTGTGTTCATTCCCTGGCATCCTCCAGCTTGGGAGGATGCATACTGAAAACAACAGCTTCAGTCTGACATTCGACATTGAGGAGCAGGCAATGGCTGCAGAGGGCCCAAACATTTTATGCACATCCCAAACATTTTATGCACAGTGTCTACCAGACCAGAAAGGCAAAAATGTTTTTTGTAATAACCACATAGATTATAGAATGAAGCTCCAAACACTTTGAAGAGCATAAATCAGGCTGGGTACAGCTTTTGTTTCCATTTTCAAGCAATGTATTCTACTGTTTCAGTCATCTTACTTCATAAAGAAGCTTACTACCCTAATGACTTCTAATCCTGAATGAAAAGTGATTAACATGCTCATTCACTTTTCTGTGTATCCCACATATCAAAGCTACTCCTGGTGGTAGCTACCAACATCCTCCAAAGTCACAGGTCTTTCTGAAAAACACCACCAATGTATCCTCCCAGCACCCCTGCCTGGTAGGTAGGCATTACATAGTAATTCACTTTATAAATAGAGGTGGAACCTCAAGGACAGTCTGATTTAGCCAAATGTTCAACAAGCCACTTAAAGGGGAAGAGAATACAGGTTGTTCCACCTTCAATTCAGTGCTGTCACTTCAACATCATCCCCTGCTGACCCTCAAATATATTCTGGGTAAGAACCAAGAAAGTTTCAAAGAGCCACTCCCACCAAAATTAAATACTCACAAATACAAATGTAAACAAATGAAATACAGGAAAGAGATAAATGACTAAACAGTATAGATAAGACATATCACACAAGTGATTAAACATTTCTAAAATGCACGTTTATCTAAAAGCATAACAATTTTATTGATATTTAAATAAAATTAGGAAGAGGACTTTTCACCTAAGTTTCATGTTAGCGCTCTTATCTTAGTTCATCTGTAAATGGGCTATTCCTCATGAACCAGAGTTCACAGCTAAAGAGCAAAGATTCCTAGATGAACCCAGATTTTTTTTATTCTGTCACTTAGTTAAAATTTCAAAAAGCTTAATAAATAAGGTAAAAAAGATACAAAAGCATTCCTACTAAGTGTTTCTCTAATTCAGGGACATAAAAGATATGGCCTATAACCCAGATCTGGCTCACAAAGCCCTGCTGTCCAGCCCCTGACACTGGCCCTGCGTCTAAGTTTGCCCACAGGAGGTTCAACCTAATGTCTGTTCCAGCTGCTCTGGGACCTGTGTCACACCCACACACCGTGTCATTCCAGGATGCACATCATACATGGCACCTGGAGCAGGCACCCCCCTCCCTCCCCACCCATGCAGCACAGTTCAGGGCCAGCCAGAGGGACACCACATGCATTGCGGATCCTGAAGCGGCCAGAACAAAGTGCTGTGTGCAATGGGTCCACCATGCAGGAAACTGTAGGGAGGACAGGTTACGTGGCCCAATCCAGCCCACAAGCTGACTCCTTGCCACTCACTCATCTGGCCCCAGTGGCCAGATGAACTTGATACCCCTGCTCTAATTAACAATCATATGATTGTTCTTATTCTATCTCTAAGCTATACCTTGTCTAAAATTAGACTTGTGTAACCATTAAATGCACTTTAAGCAACTTTCACAAGACTTTTAACCTAGTTTTTTTCCATTCCATCTTTTTTCAGTTTTCTAAAATGGCGCATGCTTGGTCACATTCTCTGGCCTGATCATTTCATTTTCTTCTTCTCTTACCCAAACTTTGGTCAGGTAAATGCAAACAAATGCTATACCATACCACCATTAAGCAACTTAAGACCTACTGAGCTATTAACATCTAAACCCCTTATCTCCCTGCCCCTCCACCACACCTTAACTAATTAGCCTCCTCGCTGTACTTAAGAAATCAACAAGACTTACATCAGGGAGGAGAAAAGGATCATTTTGAAGGAGCAAGACCCGCAGCTCATTCTCATTGAGGCCGGAGAGATCATTGGTCCTTAGAACCTTTCGGTTCTCTTCTGTGGCGATGTCATGGCTGTACTTACATGACCTGGGAGAGAACAAGCAGAAAATCAAATACTTGGATTTTCAATGTGTGCCAGGGATTACAAAAGCAACCACATGAAGGTAGATGAAGGCAGAAAAGAAGAAATCTATCTTAGGTATTTGCTAAAGGTCTTCTACCGAAGTGTCTGAGCACCCTGGGCTAGCAGTGGTGGATTATCAGACACAACAATTTGTCAAGAGCCAAAAAACATACACAAAGATAGAAAAAGGAGCAGAATATGACACACAGCTTGTGATTCTTGGTGACCTTGGAAGACAGAGAAGAGATTTAGAGAAAGTGTCTGAGTTAACATGGAACATCCCCAGCAGAGTCCTGCATAAAGCTGAGACGGAGAAATGATGGACAATACTGGGATAACACATCCCTCTTTTCATTCTTTATCTCAGAGTAACAATAGGCCTTTGCACTGACAAAAACCAAAACAACTGGGAAGGCTAGAAGAACCAAGCCAGATCTAAACAAAAATGAAAACACAAGACCAATGCTAATCATTAAATGGTCCCACTCTTCTGAAAAGTGATGAATTGTAGCCCAAAAGTGAGGCATGTTAAAACAACAAGGGGAAAAAAAACTGGGGTTGGGAACATTTTCTGGTTGGAGGCTAGAAAGACCCAGCTCCCCAGAGTGGGCAGGCCTTAGAAGCCAGCCACCTGTGCTGCTTCTCCCAGCTACCTGACTGGTGCAGCAAAGGGAAAGCTCCCCCTCTACCAAAGCCCCCCCACCCACTATGGCACAGCTTGGACAAAGCCCTACTGCCAAATCCAACCAAAGCCATGGCTTCACAGGCAGAGTCCAAAAGCTCTGCAGAACGTAGGTTGCTGACCCCTGAAAAAACCTTCTCCTGTTACTGCTCAAATTAGCTAGTCTTTAGAGCAGTGGTTCTCAACCTTTTCAGATTCAAGAATACACATTGTTAGATTCATAGTACCCCCTGGAAAATGCCAGCACTTAGCTTTCACTTCAAAAAATAAAAGAGCAAATTTTTCTGTTGCAAAGAATTCATACAACAAGAGATCACAATGGTTTTGACGCTCCGGGTTTCTATTTGAAATTTCTTCTGAATCACATGCAGGTATTTGCATGCAAAACAGTGCTAATATTGAGTGGCACCTGGCAGCACTCTGGTTATGAATCACTGCTTTGGAGATTGTGCGGGCCGGAAGCGACCCGAGCCCTTTTCCGCGCTGCACGCGGGCTGTGGCCAGCAGCCCGGGCACGCCGGGTTGGAGAGGGAAGGCCGTCGAGCTGGAATTAGGCACAGACGCGTATCAGTAGTTTTAAAGATTGTTTACTTACACCGAGATGGCAGTGGTGTAGGCTGAAAACTTGCTTAAGTTGCGGTTACAGACAGGAAAGAAGAGAGGCGGACAAGAGTTCTAGACTCGTGAACTCTAGCCCAATCCGGCTGAAGGCTCTGAACACGCGAGCCTGTCGTCTCAACCGAAGAAAACACTTGTCCGGAAGAGCTCTGAATAAACTCACACTCGGTGACGGGGAGAGGCTAGAGGTTGATCAGACCTCCGTTGCCTGCTTTAAATGCACTGGGTCCGTAAGGATCTGCAGCGCTTAGAGATCTTCACACAGTGTGAAGTCTTCTCCTCCCTTGTTCGTGGAGTCCTCCAACTTGGGCGGAAACCACTCAAGCCTTTTATACGGCTAGCAAGCCAATCACTAGCCACCACGTGTGAATAATTTAGAACTGGCCAATAATGGGACTCGAATTAGCATACAAATGGCGGGAACTCTGCAACGAGCATTTCTGTGCTGCAACAAAGAAATGCACCCTGCAAAGAAAGCTTCAAATTGGTGGGAATTTCCTTGCACCGGGGTTCTCTTTTGCAGCAGAAAACTCCACCGTGCAAGGAAGCAATAATTTAGCGGGAACAATTTAGCAGTGCCGAAGCCCACACAAACAAAAATCACACCCTTTGGGTTGTGACAGAGATTACCTTTATAGGCTGTGGCTGACTGTTGAACCTTCTGATTACATTTTCCTTCATGCTGTGATTAATCATTCTAAGCTCTCTTCTGTACAAGACCATGCTTTGGCATTTTTTCTCCTAATCCCAAATTAACACAGCACTCTGGTTTTGTACACAGCTTTATGAGCAAATAAGGCAAGACCTCTGCCCTACAGAATTTAGGAAGGCCCCTGGTCCTGTATTAGGACTTTCCAGTATAATTAAGAACAGAATGAGCTTCATACTGTGGTGACATTTATACAGGTTTTGCTCATGGAGTCACATTCCATTCTAGATCTAAAATAGCAAATAATGAAATTTACCCAAAAGAATTTGAATATTTGTTGTAGAATAGGCCACTGTTAAATTTGCCATCATAAGAAAAATGATGTAGTGCCTAAAAAAGCAACTATATTCAGGAACTGCTATTTTTCATACCTTCACCAATATATTATGTAGGTCTGCATTAAAATGCAAAAACATGTGAATATCTATGTATAGAAATAAATCAATAAAAGGTTACAAAATACAGGCTGTGAACCTAATAAACAAAAAGTGTTTAAAAAACTCCACAGCATAGTTTTGCACATGGTGTGTAGACACATCCAGTATATTTTCTTTAAAAGGAATCATCAGAAAAAATAGGTTTGCCAATTCTTCTCATATAGAAAATTTCCCTGCCAGGGTATCATAGTGGTTTTTCTTTCTGACGGGGTAGATGTGCAAGCCTGGCTGAGTTATCCTATACATGAAATATGGTTGAAGGGATGAAGTGAAGTGAGGACAGGGCAGGAAAAATAATATCACCATCAATAATCATCATGAGAACTTAGAATTCAAGAGTGTAGGTTGTAGCCGTGTTGGTCTAAGAACATAGGCAGACAAGGGTCTTTGGGTAAATCTAGTATCTTTTATTAGACCCATTCAAATAGTCTGACATAGTATTCAGATTTACAAGCAGAGTTCTTTCTAGGCTCTTTGTTCAGCTGAGCAGGCTTCCTATAGGCCCGCCAATCTTCACTGAAGAGTGAAAAAGTGGCACATGCCATTTAACATTTATCCAATTGCATTTATCCTCCTCCTGGGGGACAGGAATGGATGTCATCAGTTCCCATCCCTAGGGCTAAGTATCAGATCACATTCTATTGTCACCAAATTCAAGTTAACCCTTCCAAGTCCTCAACTAATTTTAGGATTCACAAGAAAATCTTACAATGCTTCACTGGGGCAGAAACATCAGGTTAAAGTTTTGGGGACTCAAGAAACAGAATATGTTTAAAAACTTCAACTCAAAAGGGCTGTTAATCCCAGCCCTGTTAAAAATTTGCAAATCTCTTTCAACCTCCTCCACTGCTTTCTGTGATCCAGGCTGAAAGAGAGTAATCCAGACTGAAAAAGAAGGCAATTACTCAACATAAACATAAGTCAAACTCTCAGCATAAATGAAAAAAGCCAAGATCAACTTGGAAACTTGTTTTTCAACACAGTTTCAACCTGGAAACAGACCACTTGGGGGCTCTATCACGTTCTAATGATTTATTTGTACCCTTGAATGTTTTATTATTTCTAATGTTAAGGAGCAAAATTAAACTAGGGCGAGTGATAAAGGTCAGGTTGGCTTGTAGTGAGGGAGGGATGTTTATGCTGTCGTATGCAATGTGCATGTTGGCCCTGTTCTTTATTTGTAAACTATGCAATGTTGCTTTGGTTTTGTACCAGGATTTCACTAAAGCACCTTCATCCTCAACTCTGAATTAATCTGGGTAATTCTCTCATTTATTTGTATTAGTAGAAGATGGAAGGGACTGATTCCTACCACCACCAGTCCCCAGAATGATCCACATTAAAAATCTTTAAGTGCTTTTTATTTTTAATTTGGAAAGTTTTGAGCATTGTTTTCCTTCATAAAGAAAACCTAGATAAAAAGATTGCAGCCCAATTCTAATGTGCCTGGGAAGGGGTGTAGGAAACAGGTAGTTTTCAATAAAATATTTAAGTAAAGAATTAAAGAAAGAAATTAAGCTTTTTCAAGATAAGAAAAAAAACATAGGGTTCTCTGTCTGGATTCTGAACCAAATATGCATACAGATAAAGGCAAGAGATTGACCAAATACAAATGTGTCTTTTAAAGGGAGAAAATGCTATCAACAAATATGATTTACAGAAAACTTATGTATGTTAATAAGGTTTTAAAAAGTTCAAAGCAATAAGGCACTCCCTCCTATAGAATAGCAGGTTCTGTACTGGTCCCTGCTTCTTAGCTATGATACTGTAGTATTAGAGGGGTTTAAAAGAGTCCTGCATACAGAAATCCCCATAGGGTAATTTCCCTTACAGTCTGCATAAAGAAATCCCTCATAAGGTAAAAGGAATGGGATTACTTATATTAGAAATCAGAGGAACAGGAATATATAAAATAATGAAATTAGGTATAGAACACTCTACTCTCTGTCTCACAGCAGAACTGAACACTCAATCAAGCCGAAAAATGGCAAAGTCAAAACCTGATCAAAAGAAGTTGCTTCTTTCCACATAATTTATAATTACACTGTAGAACTCTGCTACAGGATGTAGATGAAGCCAAAAACTTAGCAGGAGCCAGAGGACTGGACTTTGTTTTGGAGAGAAATACCCAGAAATCAGTTATTCAGTTGATGTTGCTATTTTAATGATACAAAAATTGGAAATAAAAGAGTCTCATCATGCAACTATAAAACTGATTTAGCCACTAGAGTTTGGAATGAGCCATAGGGTGGGGGTAGACTATGTGGCATTGGCCTCCTGCCAGCTTCCTGTGCTTCCTCTCAGCTTCCACTTCCGGGTACAGCTGAGAGACAAGCTCTTGGCCTAGATGGCGTAGGCCAGTGGTTCTCAACCTTTTTTGTACCAGGATCCATCTGTAAACATCGATGGCCAGTCCCAACCTAGTGCCCCTCACTCCCAACTGGCTGCCCCCAGGCCCAGCCCCTGCAGTGTGTGGGGTAGGAGTGGTCACAAGCAGACCAGAGCTCTGCTGGCCTGCAAGGCAAAAGCGCACAGTTTCCCACATTTTTCTCCTTTAAAGGAGAACCCATTTTTAAAGTTTGTTCATGACCCTTTCATATATTCTTGCATCCTACTTTTGGGTCGCGACCCACAGGTTGAGAAATGCTGGCCTAGAGTCTGATCTAGTAGACCGCTTTCTACCTTTTTACTCACAGGCACCCCTAAGACCCTCTGTGCCTGGGGCACCAGCTGGCCTCCAGCAGAACAGCCCAGGGGTTTTCACACCATGGATGGGGTAGTCAGATGTTTGGCCCCAGAACATTTGTGTCAGTGAGCACAAGGTTCTGGGATGTGATACCACTTCAAGTGCCCGTGCAGGAACATTCAAGGCTGGACAAAGGAAGGGCATCCAGCACTGGAAAGCCCATCTAGCACTTTTGCCAGCTTGGTCCCCTAGAAAGTGTAAACCCTTGGGCTCGATCCTCTAGAAGTTGTGACCCTTTGGACTCAATCCCCTAGAACAGTGGTTGTCAACCTTTTTTGTACCAGGACCCATTTGTAAACATCGATGGCCAGTTCTGACCCAGTGCCCCTCACTCCCGACCCGCTGCCCCGCCCCCAGTGCGTAGGGCTGGGGGTGGGATGGGGGGGTCCCAAGCAGCCTCTCACAGGCTGGGACTCTGCTAGCCTACAAGAGAAAACCCACGTTTCTCTCCTTTAAAGGAGAATTCAGTTTTCAAGTTCGTTGATCCATTTTTTGTTTGTTTGTGACGCTTTCATATATTCTTGCCATCCGCTTTTGGATCGCAACCCACAGGTTGAAAAACACTGCCCTAGATGTCAGTGCTTGGGCTCAGTCCCCATGAAGATGTTACTCTTGGGTTCGATTCTCTAGACGACGTTATCTCTTGTGCTCAATTCCCTAGAAGACATCACCCCATGAATTCGGTCTCCTAGAAGACGTCACCAATTGGGCTCAATCCCCATGAAGACATCACCCTTGGACTCAGTCCCCATGAAGACGTCACTCCTGGGTTCAGTCCCCCAGAGGATGTCACCCGTTGGGTTTGGTCTCCTAGAATTTGTCATCCCTGGGCTCGATCCCCTAGAAGACATCACCCCTGGGCTCGGTCTCCTAGAAGACATCAGCAAACACAGGCTGCTTCCAGCAGAGCCCCTAGGTCGCGTCAGGCCCCGCTGCATGGGCAGCACAGGAGCCCGGCGAGGCGGAGCTGAAGGGCCCTGCAGAGCTCAGCTGCCCCAGCATCCCTGCCCGGGGCCACCCCCCGAGCGGGGGCGAAGTCAGAGGCCCCCTGCCTGCCCGCCCGCCCGCCCGCACTCACCGCACGCGGCACCTGCCCATGAGGTGCAGCTTGCAGAGGTGCAGGCGCTCGCAGCCCTTGCACTCCTTGCGCACGCAGAGGCGCAGCGGGGTCACGGCCAGCACCTGGCAGGTCCCACCGGCCTGCTGCAGTAGGAACCGGCCCGGCCCCGCGTCCCCCACGATCCGGCCCAGCTGCGACTCGGGCAGCTCCACGTGCTGGGGCAGCTCCCGCAGGTCCAGGCTGCCCCCGTGGGCGCACAGGGTCTTCGTGAGGAAGGGCCACACGTCGCGGGCCGACATGCTGGCGGGCGGCCCCCGGCCGG